TTGGTGATTTTTCAGTCAGGTTTAAGGAAAAAACTGAGTTTTTAGCCTAAAAACTTATTTAAACACTATTTTTGGGTTAGTTTGAGTATTTTTTAGCTTGTTTTTGACGAAATTTTTTACCTAATTGATGATTTTTTTATTTATTTCTAAGAAATTTCGGGAAATAATTGCATTTTTGGCGGAATGAATTTTTAACCTAATTTAGTGTTTTTTTTTTGGTCCCGTTTAGCTCAAGACCTATTGAAACACTCAAAAAAGGCAACAATAACACCATTTTTGACTAAATTTGGTGATTTTTCGACTTATTTTTGAGAAACCTTAACAAAAATTGCATTTTTTTCCGAAAAATGGACAAAAACGCCCTAAAAAAAATTAAACCTGGGGGTGTTGTTTTTTCGGGCTAATTTTATGATTTTTTGACCCAGTTGCGAAAAAATAAGTTTTTAGTTGAAATTTACAAAAAAAGACAACAAGTACACCATTTTCGGTCTTGTTTGTTAATTTTTTGGATTATTTTTGAGGAAAAATTGTGTTTCTATCTGAAAAACGTACAAAAACGCCGAAAGAAGAAATTACACCGTTTTTGACTAAAATTGATAATTTTTGGGCTTATTTTTAACGAAATAAGTGCATTTCTGTCTGAAAAACTGACAAAAATGGTTGAAAAATGTAAAAATTATGTAATTTTTTATGATTTTTTTGTTTATTTTATGTTTTTGGCTGAAGAACGACGGAAAAAGTCAAATTAAATAATGTTTTTTTTAGCTCAATTTAGCTTAAAAACATATTTAAACGCTTGAAAGAGGAAATAATACATTTTTGACTAAATTTGGTGGTTTTTTGGTTTATTTTTGCAAAAAAATGCGTTTTTTGCCGAAAAACGGACAAAAACGCTTTAAAAAGCTAATAGTGTCATTTTCTAGGAAAATTGGTGATTTTTCAGTCTCCTTTGATGAAATATCGCGAAAAAACTTACTTTTTATCCTAAAAACTTATTTAAACATTCGGAAAACATCATTTTTAGCCAAGATTGGGAATTATTAAATTTATTTTAAACCCTCTGTGAGAGTTTTCCGACTATTTTTGCGATATTTGGGCTCAATTAAGAGAATTATCGCGAAAAAACTAAGTTTTCAACTCTAAAATATATTCAAACGCACAAAAAAGGCAAGGTTTTCTTATTTTCTTGATTTATATTTAATAATATTTAGCTACAAAAAAAAACAAATGTAAGGATGAATTCTTAATTGGGACACTCTATAGATTGTGTTTGTGTTACAAATAATTTCTATCTTACGTTTTGTTGTTAAAACCACTCAATTTAATCATAAAGTCTTGTCTATTAAAAAGTAAAATCCTTGTAAATCTTATTAAGTCTAATCGGGATAAAAAACCGATTTAATATTCAATATTTATTACTATAATTAGCAACATTGTACAAGTGGTATTGGTCGGAAACCACTAAATAACCTCTTTTTTATAAAAATAACTAGATTGGTGTAGATTTTAATTAATGAGAAATATTTTTTACAATTATAATCCATTTCATTGGAATTGACATAACAGTAGGCCATGATTGTGTGAACCGCGCTTTAAATGTGAAAAAGGCTAAGGAACTAAATTTGTCACTATTCTAAAAAAAACTGAGGTTAAGATAGTTAAAATTTTATTTTTGGAGTTTTTTGTTGTTTTATTCAAATTGGTAACCTAAAATAGAAATTTATTAAATCTGGGGTTCACCACTTTTAATTATAACTTGAAAAAATACTGAAAATAGTGAAAAAGCGAATACAAATGTCAGTTGAACAAATCATGTAGGTAAGTAATTAAAAAAACAAAAACCCTATCTACTATTATGCGTAGGGCTACAAACTTAAATATGAAATTCCATAGCCAACCATTAATGAAATCTACTATATTAAAAATATAGTAAAAAAAATGTAAAGAAGATTTTTATTTAATTTCAGAAAAAAGGCCTCCACTCTCTCCCCCGTTTGGTCCTCTTCACCTCCGAAGACGCCCACTACTCCATCAAAAAACTAGCCTCTTTCCAAGGCATCGGCACCGACAACGTCTACTTGATCCGCACCGACGCCCTCGGTCGCATGGACGTCTCCCACTTGGAGGAGGAAATCTCCCGTTGCCTCCTTGAAGGCGGCGCCCCTTTCATGGTCAGTGCTACCGCAGGAACCACCGTAATCGGCGCCTTCGACCCCATCGAAAAAATCGCCGATGTGTGTGAAAAACACAAATTGTGGTTGCACGTGGACGCCGCATGGGGGGGCGGCGCCCTGGTCTCACCCAAACACCGCCACCTCCTCAAAGGGATCGAGAGGTAATGAGTAATGACATCCTCCGCCCAGAAATTAGTACCATTGAAAGTGGATTAATAATTTAGTAGGAATGTCTCGAAAAAAGCCAAATTATTATTGCAAATAGTAATATAAACAGTGTTTCGGGGCGCTGGGGCTTAAAAAGTTAACAATTTTAATGTAAAGTGTTAAAATTGTCGGCGTAGGAATATCCGGACGTATTGCGATACCAACCCAACAAGTTTAAAATTACTGGAATTTAGCATAGCGCATCTAGTACTTCTTGTTGTTGAGTTTTTCACTAAAATGTCATTATAAAAGTTTACTACAATTATTGCATTTCCTCTTACTCTGTCGAAATAATTAATTAAAACACTTGCACAACCTTCGTAAAAGTGTCGAGGTAATGTGATTTTTGCACTTTCAGGGCCGACTCCGTCACCTGGAACCCCCACAAGCTCCTCACAGCCCCCCAGCAATGCTCCACTCTGCTCTTGCGACACGAGGGTGTCCTCGCCGAGGCACATTCCACCAACGCCGCTTACCTCTTCCAAAAAGACAAGTTTTATGACACGAAGTTCGACACGGGGGACAAGCACATCCAATGCGGCCGCAGGGCCGATGTCTTAAAATTCTGGTTCATGTGGAAGGCAAAGGGCACCTCCGGTTTGGAGAAACACGTCGATAAAGTGTTCGAAAACGCGAGGTTTTTCGTTGATTGCATCCGGGAGCGGGAGGGGTTCGAGATGGTGATTGCGGAGCCCGAGTTCACGAATGTGTGCTTCTGGTATGTGCCGGAGAGGCTGAGGGGGCGCAAGGGCGAGTCTGGGTACAGGGATGAGTTGCATAAAGTCGCCCCGAGGATCAAGGAGAGGATGATGAAGGAGGGGTGCATGATGGTCACGTATCAGGAGCAGAAAGGACACCCGAATTTTTTCAGGATTGTGTTTCAGAATTCGGGATTGGAGAAGGCCGATATGGTGCATTTTGTCGAGGAGATTGAGAGGTTGGGGCGAGATCTTTGAAAAGTATTATAAAAATGTAAATTTTCATGTATTTATTCTCATTAGTTGTAGTTTAGTTTAATTTAAGTTGAAATATATCAAATTGAAACAATTTTAAATATTTTTAACTTTGCGAAATAAATTGTGTTTATTACACTCAAGGAACTCTAGAAATGTAACAAACGTTTAATGGATCAATTTTAAAGTTTTTATTTTTGTCGATTTTTGGCACCCGGAGCGGTCTAATGGCAATAACTCCGGACTTATTGGAGATAACCTCTTATATTTGGTACTGTTGGATAGAAAATTGAATTTTCTATGATATATTAAAAAGTTCAGTGCTCTACGATGAATAGTTATCGAGAAAATTTCTGATAAAGTCAAAAATATCGAAAATTTAAATCCGATTATAACTTCAATACTACTAGGAATTTTGCAGTTTCATTAACGCCAATCGATTCCCCGGAARATTTTACATAGGTATTGGTCAAAATATTATGTCATTGAGACACAGTTTTGCCGCAATTTACAAAATAAAAAAAAGTAAAAATTTGTTAACAATTTTTTCAAAAAAAAATCATATCTCAAAAACTATGAGTCCTAGGTCAAAACAGTTTATTCAGGCGTATTCTCCGGTTAATTTTACATAAAGTACTAGTTTTTCATAAGAATAAAAAAAATTTGATTTTTTTGGTCAAAATCGGATTTTTCTAGACTTATTCTTAACTTTATTACTCAATATCTCAAAAACTATGCATCGTAGAGTATTCAAACTAGTTGAATCGTGTTCAGCGAGTAATTTTACGTCTAGAAAACCATATTTCAACCGTTTTTACGACTTTTAGTAAATTGACTATTTTTAAAAAACTCAAAAATTTCAAAATTTTTGAAACTTGACCCAATGTCGTTTTATGCACTTATTTGAGTCCTTAAGACCTCTAGAAATGTAAAAAACGTAAATAGAACAATTTTAAAGTAATTTTTTTTTTTTGATTTTTGTCGAGATTTTGGCACCTGGAACGGTCTAATGGCAATAACTCGTTTTTTCGCAATTTACAAAATAAAAAAAGTAAAAATCCGTTAACACACATAAAAACTAGTATTTTTGAACATGTCTCAGATTCAATTTAAACCGATAGATTTTGACGCGCTGATTACGAATTTTCTAAGCATTTTGGACTGTCTCCTCTAGTTTCGCCGTAATCGTCGCTTTCTCTTCCTCACACCTAAGCGAAAACATTCTGATGGTCAGCTATTGAAACAGCTAAATGTAGTTCGTTAAACACAACAGGTAGTTACGTACATTTATTATGGCCACAAACAAGTTGATAATATTAATAGTAATAATAGTGCAGTTTCCCATTAAGCCTAGAAATTGAAATAATTAATTGAGCATRCTTTTGATTTAAAATAATTACCTGTAATTCCTGAAAGTGTATTAAAGGCTGCATTTAAGATGGTTAGGCAGCCTTGCTAAAAAACTTCATCCGGCAATTACAATATATTTCGTATGGAATGATCACATGTTTAGGTAATTCTAACTGTCTTTTGTCTCCAATGATGACTGAGTTTYTTGGTGCATGTTTAAGAAGATAACTCACTAAGTGCTTTAGATCTGGTTCCTCGGGTAAATCCTTGTTGTCTGGTAGTCCGTAGGTCACTWCCGCCTGGCACCAACTACAATTATTGATCCCTTTACGTATGCTCACATTCTTTACATAAAAATATTTGGAGCACGTTCGGGTAAAGGCTCGTTTTAAGTTTTCCTGATCGTCCTCGCTATTTTGCCCGGTGCAACACACCARWAATCCRAGATGAGCTAAAATAAATTCAATATACGTACGTAGCAAGCAAAAATACGATTGTCAAGTGCTTACGMTTAAAGAAATTGGGATAATCTCTTTCAATTTCTCTCATCTCATCTATAGAAGCCATCAGATCAATCGCAACTTTTTCAACAGAAATAGAAAACAAAATGGATGCTCAGTTGGTGAGAAACCAAACTATTACCAACCTTAACAAATTGCAATGAAGCGCCCAAATTTAAATCGCTAAATATCTCGTCGCATGTAAAAACAAACAATGTCAAAAAAGTTCTATCGGAAGGTTGGGTCAAATTTGATTTTGGCGAAAGTGATTTTTCTATCTCGCTTAGGAAAATGAAAATACAGTGCGATCAAAAAATAAATAAATTAGAGTAGGCGGTGATTAAAATCCTTCAGATGGCAATCCTGATTTTTGACATCAAATGTCAAAGGAAACTGACAAGTTTGCGTTTTATTCCTTTTGAGTGAAATAATGTATTTTTACATTTTAAATTTTTGTGGAGACCTTGGGTACACCATTAGAAATAAACTGTCAAAAGTTCCCATCGATCACATGAGTGCTAAAAAAGTTATTCGGAGTCAAAGGTCAAAATTTGCGGTTTTTTAGATTTTTTTCGAAAACGGTAAGTTTTATCAAAAATGTAGCCTAGACAAAAATTATAGATCTTAAAATTATCTACAAAAATGGTCCTTATACTTTTTTTCTAAGAATCACCATTCCTGAGATATCGCGATTCTAAAAGTTGAGAGTCACGTTCTACATGATATGCACATATACAGGGTGTTCCGTTTTTATTGTTACAAATTTAAACAGGTGATAGAATATTCAATTCTAAGATAAAAGTTTCCTATAAACATGTATCGAAAAATGCTTGGTAAGGGGGCTACTAATATTTCAGAAACCATTTAAGATAAAATTACAAAATTCGGTACAGATGATAATCTTTATACACCTAAACGAATTCAAACATCAAATGTCGAAATTTCTAATCAGGGGCGTCCGAAACTGGTGGGGTTTAAGGTAAAGAAATACCCTATCTATTTTGGCTTTAGTTTCTTTAGTTATGCATTGACCAAAATGGTGGTAACTTTGAACAGCTCCTTTAGATTTAGGCAAATTTATTTAATTAATGTTATTATTGTTACTGTACTGTAATGTTAATTAGTTGAGGTTGATTAAAAAATATGAATTTCTTGTTTTTATTATTCTGTAAATTCTGATTTATTTGTGTAACATAAATTTTAAATTAATTTTATTCAAAAACAATAAGTCATATCGACTTTTCTGTGATAAACTATCGAACTTAAGATTTTGTTGCTGAAAGTACCGAGAAACTAAAGCCAAAATAAATAGGGTAAGTACCAGGAACATGGAAAAAATTTAAAAAAAAATTTCGAAGTTATGAGAGTTTAAATTTTGCACTTTATTTTTTCACGATTTTTCGTGGGGTTCATTGGGGGCTCAGTGAGGAGAATCTACAATCAAGAATGAGAAAAGTTTCAATTGTTTGGGGCTTACTTTGGCATCAGTTGGGTCCAAATCCATTTTTTTGGGGCCGAATGTGACACATGTCCTCCCAGTTGCGCACAACCCCATTTTCCATCGGGTAATTCACCTCGAGGAGGGAACGCAAAGCGGAGGCTTCATCCCCGCTTCGTTGCAATTTGTTAAGGTTGGTAATAGTTTGGTTTCTCACCAACTGAGCATCCATTTTGTTTTCTATTTCTGTTGAAAAAGTTGCGATTGATCTGATGGCTTCTATAGATGAGATGAGAGAAATTGAAAGAGATTATCCCAATTTCTTTAAKCGTAAGCACTTGACAATCGTATTTTTGCTTGCTACGTACGTATATTGAATTTATTTTAGCTCATCTYGGATTWYTGGTGTGTTGCACCGGGCAAAATAGCGAGGACGATCAGGAAAACTTAAAACGAGCCTTTACCCGAACGTGCTCCAAATATTTTTATGTAAAGAATGTGAGCATACGTAAAGGGATCAATAATTGTAGTTGGTGCCAGGCGGWAGTGACCTACGGACTACCAGACAACAAGGATTTACCCGAGGAACCAGATCTAAAGCACTTAGTGAGTTATCTTCTTAAACATGCACCAARAAACTCAGTCATCATTGGAGACAAAAGACAGTTAGAATTACCTAAACATGTGATCATTCCATACGAAATATATTGTAATTGCCGGATGAAGTTTTTTAGCAAGGCTGCCTAACCATCTTAAATGCAGCCTTTAATACACTTTCAGGAATTACAGGTAATTATTTTAAATCAAAAGYATGCTCAATTAATTATTTCAATTTCTAGGCTTAATGGGAAACTGCACTATTATTACTATTAATATTATCAACTTGTTTGTGGCCATAATAAATGTACGTAACTACCTGTTGTGTTTAACGAACTACATTTAGCTGTTTCAATAGCTGACCATCAGAATGTTTTCGCTTAGGTGTGAGGAAGAGAAAGCGACGATTACGGCGAAACTAGAGGAGACAGTCCAAAATGCTTAGAAAATTCGTAATCAGCGCGTCAAAATCTATCGGTTTAAATTGAATCTGAGACATGTTCAAAAATACTAGTTTTTATGTGTGTTAACGGATTTTTACTTTTTTTATTTTGTAAATTGCGAAAAAACGAGTTATTGCCATTAGACCGTTCCAGGTGCCAAAATCTCGACAAAAATAAAAAAAAAAAATTACTTTAAAATTGATCTATTTTACGTTTTTTACATTCCTAGAGGTGTTAAGAACTCAAATAAGTGCATATAACGACATTGGGTTAAGTTTCAAAAATTTTGAAATTTTTGAGTTTTTGAAGGTGAGCGGTAGTAAAATCGTAAAAATAGTCAATTTACCTTAAAAACGTTTGAAATATGGTTTTCTCGACGTAAAATTACTCGCTGAACACGATTCAACTAGTTAGAATACTCTACGATGCATAGTTTTTGAGATATTGAGTAATAAAGTTAAGAATAAGGCTAAAAGTAAAAGCACTATATCCGATTTTGACCAAAAATCAACATTTTTTGATTCTTATGAAAAAATAGTACTATATGTAAAATTAACCGGAGAACACGCCTGTARAAACCCTGTTGACCTAAGACTCATAGTTTTTGAGATATGAATTATTTTTTTTTTTTAACTAAAAATGGCTCTGTACCCGGAYCCATAACCCGGAGCGACTTCCGGTTTGCGCCAGTAAATAGATATAATTTTAGGCTAATTTTAATGGTTTTTACCCCTTTGCTCTAAGTTCTATAGTTTCGTAGAAAAACGCGTTTAAAGTTTCACAATTTTTACAATTTTCACTTTTTGAACGGCGATTACGGCCAAACTATTCGATTTAGAGCAATCAGTTCAACTCTATCGTAACAGCGTAAGAAAATCTATCGACTGAGGCCAAAGCCAAGTCGATATCTCGCAAAAAAAAATTGAATTTTTAAACGCCGATTACGGCGAAACTAAAGGAGATAGCCCAATGTGGTTGGTAAATTCGTAATTAGCGCGTCAAAATCTATCGGATAAGATAGGTTTTAATTGAATCTGAGACATGTTTAAAAACACTAGTTTTTAAGGGGGGGGTGTTGACAAATTTTTACTTTTTTTTATTTTGTAAATTGCGGCAAAACTGTATCTCAATGACATAATATTTTGACCTATACCTATGTAAAATGTTCCGGGGAATCGATTGGCGTCAATTAAACTGCAAAATTCGTAGTAGTTTTGAAGTTATAGTCGGATTTAAATTCTCGATATTTTTGACTTTATCAGAAATTTTCTCGATAACTATTCATCGTAGAGCACTGAAATTTTTAATATATGATAGAAAATTAAATTTTCTATCCAACGGTACCAAATATAAGAGGTTATCTCCAATAAGTCCGGAGTTATTGCCAAAAATCGACCAAAAAAAAAAATTGATTAAAAGGAGATATTTCGTAGTAACCAAATGCACTTTTTTGAGTCTTTAAGACCTATAGAAATGTAAAAAACGGTTTTAATTTTCTATCATACAAAAAAGATCGAAAAATTGCGTTTTATACGCAAAATGCTCGCAATGTCAATTTTTAGCTCACAAAATTTTTTTAGAAAAATAAAAAGTAAGAAAAAAATACCCCAAAAATATTACGTTTCTAGAAAAGCCAATAGACTGTTTTTTTTTTAACTTTCAAAACTCAAGTCCACGTTAGCGTGTAAACACTGTAAACTGTCTCGATCTATTCTTACCACAAAATGTGCAAAAAATGGCCCAGATTAGCTTCCAAATGACCGATTTAATGGAATTTGGCCGCGATTTAGTCAACTTTCACTAGATAAAAACCGCCCCAAACTCGTATATAAGACATTTATTAATTTACTTATACACTTGAGTTACAACTAAATCAATTACTGAGGAGATTAACAAATCAATGAAAAAGAGAACCAAGGAGAATTTCCAGAAAGGCACAATTTAAAACAATTCGCCAAAACTGCTCTCATCGCAGTTTTGTTCACGGGCAATGCTATAAAATTTTAATATGCAGTAAAAAAAACGTGACAATGAAACATCGAGTAAGAAATTCTCTAAAGACATCAAAGCCCCCCAGATACATACTACCGGGGCATGACGAGCATTAACTAAGATTTCGAGTGCTGATATTTATGTGTAACTAAAACGGTTGAAATTATTGCAAAGTTGGAACATTAGAAGCCGTGGACTTTGAGCTGGTCGGGCTTCGCCAGCCCCGCTTTCGTCAACCACTGGCAGATGTTTTCGCGTTGGTCCCCTTGCAATTGAAGCACTTCGCCGTATTCTGGGTGCTCTATCACAGTACCATTACATGCGAATTCCTGCACAAACATCAAATTACAACAATTGTCAAATACAGCCCCCAAACCCACCTTTTTACATGCCCGAACGATTTTCTTCAAGTCATAGTCGGAGGAGAGCCCTTGGACTGTAGTTAGAGTCTTGCGACCATTTCGTTGCTGGATTCTTATATGCACAAGTCCGTCCTGAACATCGTCGTCTGCACCCTTACTTGCATCAGCAAAGGGGTCTGAAACACGCCCCAATCAGCCCCAAATGACAATCGAGCATCGCAAGGACGCCATATTGTCGTCTTCACCGTTTCCAAGACCCACTTACCAAATGTGTTTAGATTCTGGATGGACATACGATAATCAAATAATATACTCAGAAACAAAAAGATCTGCAAAATGCAATTACTAAACTTCACTTTGAGCACAAAACAGTCAATTTACGCAGCCGATTAAACCGATGATGAGTCAAATGTGAAAGAAGGCTGCCAGAAATGATGACGCCCGAGAACAAAGCGGCAACCTTACAACAAAAAAATCTCACGAAAACTCAACGGAAATACAATAAAACGATATTTTCAACACGAACAAAGGCACTACAAGGGATTTGTAACGTTATTTGCGCACTTTGGCGAGAAATTGACACGTTTTGGGACAAATAAACCCACAATTTGAGTCTGTCAGGTTGGCAACACGTGAGAAAACGAGGGAAGGCTAACCACCAATGACGTAGTTTGATGGGGGGCCGACACAGAGGGGGCAATGCTATTTATACATTCCCAACCCAAATAAAAAATAATTTCTCTCGAGACTTCATTTTATTTAAAAACATAAACCGACAACTTTACAACAAGAAATTTTCTAGAATTTTATTACAAGTAAACAAAAGAGAAGGCTAACCACCAGTGACGTAGGTAAGAGAGGGCAATTTTATTTGACGACAAAAATATTTAATAGAATATATTATCGACTCTATTTTATTACAAAAATTAATAATAACAATCCAAATTAACATAAACATGGACAACACAAAGAAACCTCAAATTAAAATTAATAATTAAGCCATTATTTCAGCCTTACAAAACCATCACAATTTCAGTTATCTTTCTTCGTTTCAGCATCACCGCCACTAATGGTGATTTTCTTCTGCAATTTACTGTGTTCTTCAGCAAGACGGTCATACTCTTTGGCCAAATTATCTGATTGTTTCTTCATTGCATTCTTGTCGCGTATCTCACTTGCAAGCTCTTCTTCCAAATCGGTGATTTTCTTCTTCAACTCGGAAATCTAGTAAAACAATTTTCTCATAAATAAATGTAATTTAAAATAATGACATTGACACTCAATGCTGACAACCTTAATGTGTGAAATTCACCAAATGACGTTTAACTTTATTAAAAAAAACCTTTTTTACCTCTTTATCATGGGCTTCGTTGCTGTCATTTTGTGCAATTTCGCCCCTTTGAGCCAACAGACTTTTAGCTGCTGTTGTGGCACTCTGGGCTTGACGCATTGACGCCTCGGATTGGGCCAATAAGGCGGCTTGGGACGAAATCAGTATGACCAATCGACGAATCACCTGAAAAATAAATAACCAAAGATTAACTTTCACAGTTGGTCACCCTAAAGTTAATCCTTTTCCACGAAAATTCCCTCTACCTGTGAGAGAGAAATTAGGGTTTTGGGTAAATAAACAAACACAAACATTGGTTTAAAGTTGGCCTTGACATAAATTTAAACCAACTTTAGCACAATGAGTCATTACATTCTTGCACTTTGCCCCACTTACCAGTGACAAAAATAGGGCGAAGCCCGAGATGTAGAAGTTCCTCTGCGCCCTAAACAGCCGCATACTCCCCTGCATTTCGCGGTCCAAGTGACTGTGTTGCTCTTCATTTTCTGGAAATCACAAAATTGTGAAAAAGACTAAAAATGTCAACTCTCACCTGTTTGCGAGTATTTTCGCATTTCTCTGATTGCGTCAAGCAGGAATAGGACTAGAACTGCTAGCAGGATCATGAAATACATCCCAGCTTGTCTTTGGAGCCCTTGCAGGAATCTTGACTTGAAAAAGGCGTTCCATCTCTTGGGGCTAGCCACTGGGAGGACCAGCAGGAGCACAATAGCGATTTCTACGTAGAGAAAGCCGGCGATTAGCGTCCACTGCAGACTCATTTCACTGATAAAACTTTCGACGTTTGAGGTTAACTTTATAGTTTTTGACAGTTGGGTGGTAACCGTCTGATGTGGCTTTCCTGAAACTAAAAACAGACTGTGATTTGTGATTGGTGCAAAAGATAGGTAAATAAACTCAATTCTGACTCACTCAACTATAAATAAACGCTTGAAGAGGTCGCAATTACGCAATTTACGCTGTTTTATCACATGAAATTTCGGCGTTGTTACCGACTGGTACATGCCGGTAAAACAGGAATTTGCGAAAAATTGCGTTAAAAAATAGGTAAATTAACTAAATTCTAACTCACTCAGCTGCAAACACACGCGTAAAAAGGTCGCGATTGTAATTTTCGCAGTTTTATCACCGAAATTTCCTCGATTCTTGTGGCGTTGTTACCGACCGCACCGTCGATAAAACAGAAATTTGTGAAAAATTGCTACAGCCAACGCGATGACGACGTTATCGGGTCGCGGGGTTCCCCCTATTCCTTGAGTCGTATCACGATGACACTTTATCAGTCGTGGCGTGGCATTTGTGTGAATCACATGTGAAACTTGTTTTAGAAAAAAATGGGACGGAGCAGGAAAAAATCCAACAAGGTTACTACTGAAGCCTCAAAACCGCAAAACGAACCCGAAAAAGACGAATTTGGGTTGAGGAACAGGAACACAAGGGAGTTTTCCAATTCGAACCGACGCTCAAGTTTCAACTTCAAGAAAGAAGACGAACGGAAAAGTGAGCCGTTCAAGAGGAGTAAACACGATTTTGAGGACCAAAACCGCAGGCATACACATAATGCGACGTACGGAAGACGCTCAAACGTGAGTTTTTTAAATTTTTGTAAAAAATTATGTAACCTCAGACACGAACCACGATGTTAGATAGACACTTCCAAAAAAATTTGACAAAAAGGACGCTTTTAAATCGAAATTTAACCATTTTGGGCCCCAAAACTGGGTTCGTTAAATGTATAGCCACGTTTTTCTCTAAATTGAGAATTTTTTTCAAAAAATAATTGGCAATTTAGTGATTTTTTCAAATGTTGGTATTGTTTGTAATTTAGAAAAAAAATCTTTAAAAATTTTCAAAAACGCACGCTTTTATCTCGAAATTTATCCCTTTTGGACCCAAACCCGCTTTTATTAGGTTGTAGTAACATTTTTCTTTGAAATGAGAGTTTTTTCTTTAAAATAATCGGCAATTTAGTAATTTTTTCCCAAATGTTGGCATTGCTGATAATTGAGAAAAAAATTGACATTTGAAAACTTCCAAAACCTTTTAAATCGAAATTTAACCATTTTGAGCCCCAAAACTGGGTTTGTTAAGTGTATAGCAACGTTTTTCTCTAAATTGAGAATTTTTTTCAAGAAATAATTGGCAATTTAGTGATTTTTTGCAAATGTTGGTATTGTTTATAATTTAGAAAAAAACTTTAAAAATGTTCAAAAACGTTTTTACCTCGAAATTTAACCGTTTTGGACCTAAAACTACTTTTATTAGGTACGTAGTAATTATTTTCTTTGAAACGAGAGTTTTTTCTTAAAAAATAATCGGTGATTTAGTGATTTTTTGGTTGGTATTGCTGACAATTTAGAAAAAATTTGACATTTGAAAATTTTCGAAAACGGACGCTTTTAACTCGAAATTTCGCCATTTCGGCCCCCACACTGTTCTCGCTAGATATGTAGTAACGTTTTTGATCATTTTTGCAGAGTTTTGGTAATTCGGAGTTTGCGGAATACAACCACGAGTTTCGCTCCCATCGTGGCCCCATCGAGAACCTAAAAACGAAAGAAATCGTTTCAAATTTATTCGAAATGCCTGACGACTACTCCCTTGCACATTGCGTCGCCGAAGACATGAACATGGGGAGTGGAATTGCGGTGCAATTTCGGTAAAACCCCCCAAAATTTAGTGTTTTTTCTCAAAGAAATCGTTTCCAGACGCGACTTTAAACGAGTCGATGAATTATTAAACCAGCACCAGGAACCAGGAGGCCTTGCAGTGCTGGAACACGACGGGAGGTACATCTACTATTTGGTTACAAAACGGCTCTCGAGTGGGAAACCCACCTATGGTACTTTGTTCTCCTCGTTGCAAAAATTGCGAACCCATATGGTACACAACAATGTACGAAAATTGGCAATACCACGAATTGGGTGCGGTTTGGATCGCCTCCAATGGGACAATGTCAAATTCATGCTTGAGTTTATTTTCAAAGAAATTGATGTGGAAATTGTCGTGTGTAACCTTGAACCGGTCAGTTTCCCTCCCCCAAATAACCCCCTTGATGATATTTCATTTTTGTAGAAGGAGGATTCCCCCCAACAAAAACACAAGAATTGCAAAGTGACCCATGAGACTTACCCAATCAAAGACATCGAATCCGGAACTGTCATACTTTATTTCTCCTCAGAGGACGAATTTATCACCGATGAGATGCGCTCCTTGGATGAAAAATTCAATTTCTTGAATGAATTCAAATTTGGGAGGAAATCACTCGGAAGTGTGATTTTCACCACCAAAACCACCGACTATCTATTGTGTGGTTGCATTGTTCGCAGACGAAAAAACGACTCGTTCGATTTTCAAGCCTTCCAAAAGTGTCTCCAAGCGATTCAGAGAGAAAACCGCAAACACAAATACTATTATTACGCTTTTCAAGCGTTCGAAGACAAGGATTCAACCCTAAACCAAAAAATCATCAATTTGATGCGAAATTCATTACGTGATATTGAAGTTTATGTTTGTTGGGTTGGCGACTTGCAAAAAGAAATCCAATTGAATAGTAGTTTCAACTCGAGTTTTGGGAAAAACGACAGTGATTGGCGGTCTCGGGACTCAAATATCGAAGAAAATTCCAGTTTTGTTGAAGAAACAAAAGACGACGCGAAAAGTGTCGATTACTGGGATCAAGTAAGTGTAAATAAATTCTTTCTTATCTGCATTTTCTCACGCTGACGTAGCGATTAGTTCCTCTCGGATTTAAACTTAGTTTTTTTTATTAAAAAAAACGTGTATGATTATCATTGTAAATTAGTTTTTAAAACACACTAATTGTTTTTATGTTAGGATGTGAGTGAGGTCCCACCTAGACGAGAATCCGAGGCAATAGCCGAGCCATTGCGTGTAACACATGACACAATACAACAGGAAGAACAAACCAATCACGAATATGATTCATTCCGAAAAGCACTCGAGACTAAATCGATTCAGTTGTTAATTCAGGACCAAAATACGACTGTTTTACCAAAACGGGAATTTTCACGCGTTTGTTTCGCCCGAGAGGACTTAATTATACACAGCGGAGTGGCAGGGTATGTCAGGAGTGGTTAAAAAAATTTTTATTTATTTTTTCAGGCCAGGAATCGGTCCACATGTCGGGAAACTTCTCAACCAAAACGGAAAAGAAGGAGACTTGATTTGGACCAAAGACGGCAATAATTATCTCTACTGTCTTATTGTAAATTGGGACACTAAACCTCAAACGATTTTTTCAACAATTCAAAAATTACAAAATCAAGTGACACAACACAAAGTCAGCACTTTGGTTCTTCCAAAATTGGAGTCAGATGTCAAATTTATGTTTCAATATGTGTTTGGCCGACTTAAAATAATTATCGCCCCCTTTGAGACGGTGAGTGGACTAAATTGGGTTAAATTGGTTTTAATTGTTGTTTCCAGAGTTGCGATTTTCCCACTTTGAAAAAAACAAACGGGATTAGGATACAACACGTGAGGTCACCCCTTCACCACATGAAAAAGAAAAGTGTTATTCTCTATTTGGCATCAGTCGATGGGCAATTTACCAAAGAAATGGATGGGTTAAAAGGCAAATTCGATTTTGTTGAGGGTTTTAAACAGAAAAATAACACTCTTGGTAGTATTGTCTATTATAAACAAAACGAGGACAATATTCTTTACGGTTGTATTGTGAAAAAATCGTTTAAGGATTCGATTGATTTTGAGGCGTTTCAAAAGTGTTTAACACAAGTCAATGAAAATAAAAAAAAAGATAATATGAAACTTGTTGGTATTCAGGCAACAAGTGATAACAGTATCAATTATAAAATAGTTACTTTGATGTTACATACGTTACAAAATGTTACAATTAATATTTGTTGGCCTGGAGCTTTGAAGGAGATAATGATCCCCGATTTGTAACAATTTTTTATCATGTTTTGTGGTCATTTTACAATTGGACATATTTTTAGACCATGATGCACGCTTATTTATCAATAAATATGTATATTAGGGTTTAATTTTTATTTAGTAAAGTAAAAAAATAAAAAAAAAACCAAAATTAACACGTGTTCAATGTAGACCAATCAGAATTAAACTTAATAATGTGTTTTTCCAGGTGGGTTAAAATGGTCGAGAATGTTTTATACCTCTCTAAAGTACTCAAATCTCCGACTATTAGCAGTTTGCGTTTGGCTCGAGTCACAGCAACAGTCAGTCTTCTCTTATCTTCCAACAATTCGTACTAAAAAAAATAAAGTGTACAAAAACAATGAGACATAAAAAAAGTCTTACTTTAAGTGGGTTTGTTGAAATTCGTGCATTGGTGGCTTTAGTACACGAATAAATAATCACACTTTTATCACGACCTTGAAACTGGTCCACTGTACTAACATCAACTTGATATTTCTCGAGTAAATCACCGATTTGTGACACTTGAGCCCTATATGTTGCAATCACTCCAATATCACCACTTGCAACGCCACCCTGAAACGTTTTTACTGTGCCGGTTTGCGACTCGACTAACCAACCTGTATTAAAGCCTTGACTAGTGTTACAACAATTGCAATTTCGCAAACATTGACACACGTATCGTGATTGGTCAATTCGGATACAGGACCGGTGTCGATAAATTGCACAGCGGCCTCTAGTGACACATCAAGTGCCTCCAAAACCCATGATTGTTCCTTATACTCGTTTCTAACAACCTGAAATTTATTATAGAAATTTGAGTTAATTTTTGACATTTACCTCAAAGTGGGGGAGTTTTAAGACACGGTTTGCCACCTCCTCATTGGCGGTTTGTAATTGACCTTGATACGTCAAAGTGTTGGCCAAATCGGTGATTGTCTTATTCATTCGATAGTTGAGATTTAGGGCGATTGTCCCTTCGGACTCCTCGAGTCGTTCAAACAAACTTTCCGACATTCCCGCCTCTCTAAAACCGCCAATTAGAACGCAGAGTTAAGTCACGTGAGACTTACAAAGCATCACGTTGGCGGACTAGAGGTGCGAGTTGGTGGGGATCACCAATCAGAATGAAGGTTTTGGCGGCGAATAGAGGCTTAATGACTGATGTTTGGAGCACTTGTGTGCTCTCATCGACTATACATATGTCTATTGTACGTTTGGTGAGAAGAGGGTGGGCGGAGCCAAGACACGTGACCGCTATTACGTTCTAAAACAACCAATAAACAAACAATCAACACAAATGTCAATCTAATTACAAATTTGTTATAAACTTCGTTCATTTCCTCAGGTGTTGTGCATTTTTCTGTAAGAGTTGTCTCGAGATTTGGTTTCAATTTCGGATCAATTTTACTCTCAGACCCAAGACGAATAAAATCGACGTTGAGTTTTTGCAAACGGATACAAATATTATCAATTGCGGAATGCGTATGACTAGTAATAAGGACACTTTTATTTAATTCGACTAGTAGTTGGATTAGGGCCACAATTGTGGCGCTTTTACCTTAAAAAAAAATTGGATTAAAATTTAACGAAAATTTTTACTCACCAGTCCCTGGCATGCCTTTAATTAGTAAGAATTGATTAGCACAGAGTGCCTTGAGCACAGCCTTCTGTTGTACATGATTCAAACGTCGCAAAATCGGAGCCCCTTTTTTTGCCACAATTGACGGTAATTTGGGGGCAAAAGTGGGCGGAGTTTTATCAATTATGATACTCCTTAACTCATCACCTCGTTCAGAATTCTCAAGAAGTAGCCCCAAACTCATCATGTTAAAAGTAAAAGTGACATTTGAGTCATAAGTGTCGACATGAAACAATTGATTGTGATATTTCACCCCCAGATTGCTACAATTTCAAATGAGAAGAGTAAAGGGGCGTGGCTTATTTATACCGATCAAGAACAACAATAATCCTAGTTGGGGAGATTTCAATAACAAAACCTGACGCAATAGCAGGCCGTGAATCAGTACTGACAACTATGTAATTATTTTCAGTGATGTTGGAAACCATCAGGTTGGCCCCACTGGGGTTTTCTTTCTCCAAAAAGTGTTTAAATAAACCGTTAGTTTCATTTTCAATAAAAGTCACTCTTAGGTTGGCAATTGACCGGCCTAAAGCCTCTCTAATCAGGAAATTAATTTAAAAAATTTCACTCAAACCCAAGACTCAAACCTTTTTTCAGGTGGTAAAGTATAAATCTGTTGTACCGACTTGGATCCTTTATTGTGTTCAGCTTCCATACTCAATAAATTACTCCATTTGAGGAAATAATCTAAATGTGTTTGACTCAAATGTCCAATTGTGTTTTTTTGTACCTCTTGCATAACTTGATTTTTCGTCAAATCATGATCCTCAAATCTGACTCAAATTAAATTAAATCACACAATCAAGTCAACTTACTTCAAATAAGCACTACAAACAGTATTAAAACCACATTTGTGACAAGCACGGTGATTTTTCAACGGTTCGGGTAATTCCCCTTTTTCACTACCTAAAAAATACGCTAATTCGTTACGTAAAATCATAACGTCGCGTTTTTCCTGATTCGTTGCTTTGATTTCTTTTAAAACGCCCTCTTTTAAGTAAAATAACAAGCCTGTTGAGACATTAAACCCAAATTTGTTCATCATCATTAAATACAAAACGACTTGACCTCGGTGTTCGAGTGAGACCGTTGCTCGGCCTGTTTTCACCTCGAGGGGCATAACCCCGGTTTGTGACCGTACAGTGACATCAATCTTGCCTTTGAGCCCCAACTGGGGGCACCAGAGATTCTCCTCAATGTCCTCAATATCGGTGATTTGGCCCCCAATGTGGTCGGTGATAAAAGTGACCAATTTGGGGACAAACACCTCCAATTCGGACTCAATCTCGCCGATTGTTAAACCAGCTGTGTACAGTTGTTTAACCTGTGATCAAAATTGTCATATTTAATTAAAAAAAAAACAAAAACAAACTAACAGTGTCTTTGGATGCGAGTAAATTGTTCAAAACCGCCTCAATTTGTGTCCTTTGAGTCAGCTTTTTCCTCAAACTCTGTTGGAGGAGGGTGTGGGCCAAAGTCCCAATTATCATGATTCGATTTGTTGCCTCAAAACCGCGAAAACGGTCCGATAAAACAGCCTTGCGTTTGCAGAATAAACTCCCTATAATTCAAAAAACATTTTAAATTGCCCAATTGAGGTTTCTGATTGGTTACCAACGACTGAAGTGCAAGAAATCAACAAATCTGGTTGGTAGACAAGCCAACCCGTGGTATTGTTAACCACCCAATCACCGTTCGAGTTTTTTTCAGCCGTAATATAGACACAATCGCCGACTTTGAACCGGTTACTGGACGCCCTGAAAGAAAATTTCAGGAAAAACTCCAAAAAATAAAGTAATAATAAAAATAGAGAGTTTTTTACATCTAAAAATTGCAATTTTTAACATTAGAAATCTAAAATATTTTTCTGTTATTTTCTCAAATGTTTTCAGATTTTAATTAAAA